ATTTCTTGAACTTCTAATGAGAACTGGTGACTGTTGGGGTATTCCAAGTTGGGTGTGTTGATAAACACTCGGTGATGACATTGATTGGAGGTTGTGGTACATATCACAAATTAGTAGAAGTCAGGATTCATGGGTCATTGGAATCCGTCCTAATGGCTGAATGGTCAGCAGGCTCGTTTCGTAGCCCGAAGGTCCTCGGTCAGATCCTCCTCGGGGTGTGTAGTACTCTTAGGTTTTCAGTGCTCCTCTAGCTGATGTCATTTCATGATCTAATTTGAAACCAATCTCATGCAGTTTTGACTAACAATACTGATAACGTAAATATTATTTCTCAGGATAACCATTGCAATTCAGATAGGCGACAGGACACAAATGTGTTCAGTCTTAGTTTTGGTTCCCACTGGAGTTCCAACTTCAAATTCTTCAGGTATCGTGGCGCGCCCATTACAATTCATTCACGTAGAAAATAGGACAATAGGCGGAGAATTTTCCAACATCAAAGTCATTCCTTTAAATGTGACAGCACTTTAAAAAACAATCTTACGTTGATGAGAAACTCAATCATCAACCTAAAAACGTTTTGTCTTTACGCAATTAATTTTCATGAAGTCAACCAATATGCTATCGCTCTATATTGCTGGTTCAATGTTCAATAATCAGCAACTAAGTGTTGTATTGTAAATGCTTGTTTTAATTAGATAAATTAGATGAATAAATGAATAAATAAATAGGCGCACAGAAATAGGTTTCTATTTTAGAAGAAAGGTAAATGCTTACTTACTTGTTGGTTGGTTGGTTGGTTATTTTAATGAGTTAATTTAACACTTGAAATGATCTTTAATTACACGTCAGTACTTGTCATAATATTAGATCATTCATGTTAATAATCGTATGGGTCATTAGTGTTTAATGTCAATACTTGGTTTAGTGAATATGTGCTAATTTAAATTTGATAGATTGTTCATTTATTTTAAAGAATACATATAAGGTTGTGTAGTGAGAGAGGGAGAGAAAGAGAGAGACAAGGAGGTTCCAGTTATTTTCCCATTTTCTTGAAACTGATAGTGTTCGCTAATCCCTGATGTTAACTTCATAATCTAACTAAGAGCCTCCATAATCCGGGCTTATTTTTGTTTATAATCTGTGATCAACTCGGAAAAAACAAAACTAACCCTTACAAACCAACTATAGAAGTTTAATCTGATGCTTGCTAGTGACTTGCTAAAATATGGGGTTTCTTGAAGTTCTAGTGATAAGTCGTGACCGGTGAGGTCCAATCAGATGTCACGTGTGTGGATGGATGTCCCACCAACGACAATGGCTGGGGTCGCGCTAAATCACGAATCGGTAGCAGTTAGAATTCATGGGTTGACTAATGAATCCGGTCTCAGTGGCTTAACGGTATACGAGGCAGCTTGCTTGGTTCGAACCTTGGTGGTGAGTGCGTACTGACGATGATTCCCAAACTAGGATGAAACAACTGTTTATTATTCCGTGTGGCTGATTTTCAGTGATTCTCTAACTGATATCAATCTGTGATCAACTCGGAAAAAACAAAACTAACTCTTACAAACCAACCACAGAAGTTTATGAAGATGTTTTGCGGAGAATGTATGACGTCATCGAAATGTAAGAAAAAGAAAGGTTATTATATAGAGAAAATGATACTTGTTAGGTGGTAGCTACCAGAGGAGTCTAGGAAACGCATCTCGTCTTATCTGGAACTCGTCATCCGGATGTACATGTACTCCCAGTGAGTGACGATATTCTTACTTAAATTCAAAGCCAGCACTCATCATTTCAAACGCCGAAACGTTAATCACCAAGACTGTGATAGTGTGACATAGACAGTGTCTTCCAACGGAATATTATGCTCACATATTCCCACAGTGCAATACTGAATACAATATATCTATTTGAATATTCGATTTAATGTTAGAGATAGAATACATTTCTCACGGTTATATACACTGCATTAAGAAAAGAATACTATGTATATTTGAACATTCTATTTCATGTCGTTTAATGTAAGCCTACATCACACGCTCGATGATAGGTTGACGAATATAAACTCTCTCTCTCTCTCTCTCTCTCTCTCTTATATATATATATATATATATATATATAAAGAGCGGTTTGAATAATGGAAAATATAACTTTGCTTCCGTGTCTTGTCTTCTGTTGTTACAAGACAACCGGGTAATTTCATGTACATCTCATGGCATAGTCGAAGCGTCCGTTCTTGGAGGAAACAGTTTAACACAGACTGAACACTGCTATCCAATGTTGTAACCAGTCAATAGGGAATTTCAAATAACTTCAAAAGAAGAATACGAATAGTTCGTTTTTATTCTGGTATCCTAAAGTTTCGTTTCAAGGCGAAAGTTTCAGGAGAAGAATTCGAATAGTCTACAGCTTTTAGTGCCTTGCATCACCTTTAGACATCGAAGAGTTTATAAATCCCTTTAACAGTGTCGAGGAAATTTACTAGAAGATGGTGGTAATCAGAGAAACTTCTTCTTTATTACGGTTAACGTTAACGAGACATTTTTTTATTCATTTGATTCTTGAAGGGATTATGTAGTTTATTCAGGTACTATCTATCGCACGTACAAGTGCGTTTGTGGTTCAGTGGTAGAACGCTCGCCAACCACATACGTGATTCGGGGTTCGAATTCCGACTGACGCACTCCTAAACCTCGTTAAGTCGGCAGTAATGCCAGTAAAGAGGGAAGGTTGGACTTGAGGTTAGCAACCTCACTCCGTAGAAATAAAACCACCGCTACTGGATATAAGTGAGATGCTCGCCGGCGACTGGCCTTATTCAGGTAGGTAGTTACCTGGGGTTCTAGTGGGAAGTCGTGACCAGTAGGGTGCAGCAGGTCGGGCGTGAGGACAAATACTCGCCAGCGATGACATTCGCTAGAGGTTGCACTATATCGTGAATTGGCAGAAGTTAGAATTCATGAGCTGTCCATTGGATTGGGTCCCAGTGGCTTAATGGTCTACGAGGTCGCTAGACTTTTAGCCAGAAGGTCCTGGGTTCGGACCCTGGCGGTGGGTGAGTACTGCTGAAGAGTCCAAAACCAGGTCGAAACAGCTATCCAGTACTTCCAGGTGGTTTTCCAATGGTTCTCTAACCAGTATCAGCTCATGATGAAATCCTGTAACCATTCAAAGCTGAAACTTGAAGCCCTATTTCCACTGGGAACGGAAAGGTATATATATATTTTAAATATCGCACGTACATATCTGCCCATTTGATTTTATAGATTCCATTTTCTCCTTGATCTCACTGACACAAGGTCTGTCTTCATGTCAGCATTAAAATAAATAAGGGATCAAATGGGAAGCGACGAGTGAGTCGTCCTAGGGTGACATAGAGGAGGCCGTGTGGGGAAGAGATGAAAGAGTTTGGGCAATCGTGAATCCAGCTGAAGAGAATGGCAGAAAATAGAAGGAAGTGGAGATGTGTGTTCCACTCGGAACCCAAGGGAACAATTATTATTTATTATTATTTCCTTTAATTCTTAGAGGAACATAAGGCTTCAGCCGCGCGTCTCCATTGCGTTCGGTTCTCTGCTACAGTTTTCACCTGCCCATATACTTCACATGACCTCCCCCATATCATCCCACCCTCGGACGACCAACTCGCCGCTTCTTTTTCAGATTCTACTCTAGGGCTTGTCTAGTGATGTTACTTGATGGTTTCCTCAGAGTATGGCCAATCCACCTCAATTTCTTCCTGTATATTTGTTGAACAATCGGTTCCTGGTTGGTTTGTTCCCAGAGATTCTTATTGCTGATCTTCTCTGGTCGGTCATCTGATCTTGACTATTGAGCGAAGATAGCTGTTGATAAAGGTCTGTAGTTTGTTTGAGATGCTCTTTAGGACGCGCCAAGTCTCTGACCCGTATAGTAGCACTGACTTCACATTGGAGTTGAAAATCCGGATCTTATTTTTGATGCTGAGTGCTGTTGACCTCCACACAGACTTAAGAGTAGTGAAAGCTTGTCTTGCTTTCCCGATCCTCGCTACTTTGATATCCTCGTGAGTTCCGTCCTCGTATAGTTGAAACGATGCTTTCCAGGTAGGTAGGTAGGTAGGTAAAGGAGGTTGTTTCTTTCAGGTTCCTCCCGTTTATGCTGGTTGTTGTCTGTTGTTGTTGTTGCCCAGGAATCTTCATCACTTCTGTTCACCTGAAGTCCTATCTTTGATGATTCTTCTGCCAACTTGGTGCTTTTCAAGGGAACAATACTAATAATAATGAATGATCATTTGAACAGACCATTATCTTAATTCACTGAAGATGCTCATTAAAATAATTGAGAAGACTGATTAATGAACAAAGAATATTCCTCTCGATAATCTTTTCTTCATTAGGTTCTACATTTATATGCATCTATAATTATTAAAGAATTTTTGTTATTAATAAACTCTATTGCTGTTTTAAATTACATTGAATCAATAATATCGACCGATAACATTTCAAAATCATCAGTAAGAGAGAGAGGTGCATAACATAATATAACACTAAGCTGATTGCATATCAAATAAATTAAGAGGGGAAGTAACACAGAATTTATGAATTTCTGCGTCTCACATTAGGTCAAGGTAGCGATAGTCACTGGACCTGTCTTTTCTTTCGTATGCGGAGCTTCCGTTGATTTAAGTGGGGAATCGCAATGGCCTCTGCTGATTGGAGTGTTTGATAATTAGAAAGACAGAGAACATGAAGTTTAGCAAAAGTTTTCTTTTCGGCGATTTAATACCCGATAGATAACACAGAATAATGGCTCTTCACTTCTAGCTTTATGACCTGTTCGAAAGAGGGTGGTCAAAAACAGAATTGTTGACAGTTTTAGCAAAACCTCTATTTAACCATCCTGTTAGATGTTCGTAACCACGAGAAATTAAGTCCTTATGTATTATATTACTATTATTACTATTATTGAAACGTTTTGATTGTCAATGTTCCTTTCATTCCTAAAACCTCTAGGTTAGCATCTGATGCTTTATCGTCAATCACTGAGGGTGAACCAAGTCATCAAATGCATCAAACTGCCAGTTCTCCATCTACCTCACAGTATGAATCACTTAAAAAAATAGAGGATATACCAAAACAACCCAATGATGATACACAAAAGCGTTTACTCAGCATTAAACGTGTTCACAGACTAATCGAAGAGGAATTAATGATGGAGTATGACATGAAAGCTACTAATAAATCTGAAAGGTATAATAACAGCAACAATAATAATAATATCAAGTTATCAAGATACCATGAAAAAGATGAGTTTTGTACACCGTATAGTAGTAGTAATCAACGGAGTAAAAATGATGCCAGCGTAAAACGGAATACTGCTGACCACCGCTCGATTAGCACACCGAAGAAATGCTCTCCAACGACTAGTCTACTGTATGATTTATTATCTGGTAGAGAGAACTTTAATTCAGTTTATATGAGAAGTCAGCTAGTGTTTGTTACATGTGATGATGACAATGTTGAGCCAATAAATAACTTTACAAAAGAAGGCCTTCACAGTAAGCGGAAAACAACACGTGGTCCGCCTTTGCAAAGAAGACGTAAACCGCTTAGGCCAACAAAACATTTTATCGCCCTACGAACACCAGAAAAGTCTACGGATACTGATGGAAAACATTTTCCGCGTAATGCTGCATCCATTGAAAAATTGTCATCATCGTCGCCATTCTCGTTATCCCCTTCATCGACATCATCGCCGTCATCTTCATCTTCCTCCTTATCATCGTCTGTGTTAAGTCCATCAAATATTAACATGTTAACCTGTTCTCAAGCTTCTCCTAAAAAGTTATTAGACAAAATTGATTGCCTTACCATCAATAATACTACACATTCCCAGTCACCGATTGATCACTCTTCATTACTGTCCATCATCAATAATCAAGAGTGTTTGGAACAACCATTAGATTTATCCTCAGCATCACATTCCTATCGATTAGGCTTACCACCAAACAATCAATCCGATATGATAGAAATAAAACGAAGGCGAAGTTTTGCCGGTAATTCACGATTATCCGATAATTCAGATGTGATTAAATGTAGCACCCAACGACACAATTCCGTTAACTTGCCTTTATCAACAAAGAAAATCGATTGTAATAGAAAAAACAGTGTCAATATTAACACCACTACTACTAGTAATTCAAGACCCGAACGTAAACCGTCAGAAAAGTATCCGTGTCTTTCTAATGGACCCGAGCATACTGAAAAATTTCCCATGAACATATCAAATACTGAATCAAATGCGCTCACAACAAATTTTCTTGATTTTATTTTATCCCCTGATTGTTATCGTGTTGCATTGTCGGCTGCACTCGCCATTTGTGCATCTTCTGTCTTCCAGTCACTCAGTGGCACACTAGACCATAACAATAGTAATAGTAATAATAGTGATAATAATAATAATAATAATTTGCTCAATTCACGTAACACTCCTAAAACAACTTATGAATTAGCCTATGATATATTAAATTCATTAAATTCCAATTCTGGTGGAACAACTTCAAGTGTAAAACAGGAGAATGAACAGCAACATCAACAACAACAGCAATGTCTAAAGAACACATCTCCGACATCAGCTGATAATTCTAGCTATCCCAGTGTTGTAAATACACAAGACTGTCAACACAGCGTTGTATCTACGTCGAAAATACCACTCTGTAAATCGAATTCCATGTCAAAATATAATACTACCGGTGACAATTTCCCACCTAAAAAGTCTTTATCTAATCGATTGTATTCGATTAAAAAAGTTAACCAGGCGGATTATTTAAACAAAACACATTCACTGCCTAGTCGGACATTGAACCAGCATTCCAGTAGTGATAATAATAATAGTAGTAATAGTAATAATAATAATAATAATAATTTTGATACAGATATTGTTGACATTATCACAACTAGACATTCCTTCACTTCTTCCTCTCCTTCTTCTTCTTCTTCTTCTACTTCGTCGTCTTCTTCTCCTGCTTCTTCACCGATGAAAGTCCCCAGTGAAGACTTGAAGTTATTTTTCCGCAGAAATTCCAGTCGTTATCGTGGTCGGATAAGATACTGGTTAATTCAAATGATTAGTTTAGTGAAACAGCCTGAACCAATTCTAATTTCTTTACTTCACAATAATGATAATAATAATAATAGCAATGATAAAATGACAGATCCATCAAATATACCTGTTGAACAGATGACAAGTTTATTAAGCTGCTTTCGTCTACACATATTAGATCAATCAATTGAGACCAGGCTTAAGTTCTTGAATATGTCATGGTATCGACTATTACTGGTTTATTTAATTGAGCATAAACAATTAGACTTACTGACAATTGAATCAGCATTGTCATCGTCTTCAGCGTCAGCATCGTCAACTGATGGAAATGAAGGAAATGATGAGAGATCAACTCATAGAAGGTGTGAGAGAAATAATCTAATCAATAATAATAAAGAAATAAAATCGATACACCAATCTACTCATCATCAATATCATCATGATCATAAAATGTCAAGCTTACTTCATGACATTCAAACTGTTACATCAATGTGTTATTCACTGGAATTTAATCATTCCGTGTATAATTTGATTCGAATTGGTTTATTGATTATAGGTGAGTTATTATTTTTTTTTCAGCAGTATGCACTTTGGAGTTCGACACTGGTGTCTAGACGATGTCAAGAAAAACCATCATGAGTTGTGTTAAGCATTTTTTGAGCTTACTTATTTCTGGAGCTTGTCATCGAGTTTCTTTTATGTTTCAATTTCAAATAAGAGAGTGTCGTTCGTTACTCTGGATGCAATTTAGCTTGCATATTATTAATAATATTATTATAACAGTACATCTCCGTTTTCTCTTGTTTCCTGCGGTCCTTACTAGCCGACCCTATAATTGCCCCCATAGGCTATAGTCTCTTCTTCAAACAGCCTTCTCTGTGTCATCTTCGAACCTGCGCTTAACTCGTCGTTTCCTATTCGGGTTCGACTCGAGCAATGGTCTTGAGCACAGTGTCACTCAATGGTCTCCTCAACATGTGTCCGATCCACCTACATTGCCTTCGGAAGAGTTATTATGCAATAGGTTCTCGACTGATTTTTTCCCGGAGTTCTGTGTAACTAATTCTCTCTGGCTGGCCATCTGTTCTTCAGCGTGTAACGAAAGCGGTTGTTAATGATAGTCTAAAGCTTGTTGGAAATGATTTACATGATGCTTTTGTCAAGTTTATGACCCATATAGAAGAGATGATTGACTTAACGTTGGTGTTGAAAATCCAGATTTTGTTGTTTCTGCTGAGATTTATGAAAATCTCTCTTACTTTTTCAGTCTTGCCTGTAGTTCAAACGACTCTGCCTAGATAAGTGAAGCAGGTGGCCTCTTTCAATTTTTTTCCGTTGATAGGGATTGGAGGTTTTTGTTATTGGCTGATCATCCTCATAACCTTCGTCTTCTCCATGTTCACTTGCAGTCCCATCTTCGCTGCCAACCTCTTCAGCCAGTTTTGTTGGTTTTTGCCTCCCCGCAAGTCTTCGAGTCTGTTTGTGACATTAAACATAGATCATCCACATGCGGAATGCAGATTTTCTAGAGTCTTCTTATAGGTCCAACGTATTCCTGTCTTCTTACTTGCAACGCACAGTCTGACGCACAATCCAGTCCACCACAATTAGTAATATCATCGGTGATAATGGACAAGCAGCCGTTTATTACTCCTGTATTCACTTCGAGTGCTTCACTCAGTTTTCCGTTGTGGATCACCTGACGTGTGCCATTGTCATATAGCCAGCTGTTGAATGAGGTCGATACAGAACTGGGGCAGTTTCTAAATAATTTCGTGGCCAACGCTGTCGATGAAGTCGAGGTGGAGATTTGACTGCCATTCTATGCTATATTCGATAATTTAGCTTGTAAGGCCTACGAAGTTGTATTGTTGGTTGTCATTATCTGAACCTAAGGAATTCTATACATTAAGACAATACTGAGGCTTGTTTTATAGGTCTTGTTATACACCAATCAGAGTACCCATTACAGTCACACAGGAGGTCAATCATAAAGGCAAATGCTTTATTGGTAGTTTCTCTAACTACACCACTGGATTACTCATCTCACAGGGCACATCATCTCCTTCAAGTCTGCATATATACCTTGCTGGGACGAGTGCCAATAAGCACGAAATCTAGGTAGATGACATCCTGCCCGTCGCCTCCAGCCATTCAAATTTTTTTGTTTAATTTTTCTTATTAAAGCTTGATTCCACACCGTATTTTTAGTACAAGTATGGAATTTTCAGCATGTGATATCGGTAGCCCGAATTTTGCAGGCCGACCATAGATATCAGGTGTGCATCGGCAGAGGATCAAACTCCGGACCATGTGCATGATCGGCGAGAGTCCTAACCGCTGTGCCACCGACGCAGTTTAGAATACACTGCAATGATGAGTTATCTAGATCGATAACCAACTTGCAAACCTGACTGATTGAATTATTTTGATAGCGTTATTAGAAGACGGAGATTATCTGAAAAATGTGATGTATTTGCGCTATACATTTCGAACTATATGATCAAACATTTACTTGTCAACACCTACATCAAGGAATAGATACAAAACATACTGCCTAGTAAAAAATCAATGCATGAAATAAACTACTATAGACTGTTTTGTCGCATTTTAAACTATTTCAAAAATGTGCTTAGTTCAGATCGACTGACGACTTCGTATGAACCAATTCAATCTGAAGCATAGAAACTTCTTTTTCGACTAGATTTTTTGAATAATCTTAGTGAATATTTGATCGTGAACCACGTGGTACATCCCACCACTTTCATTTTTGTGTGATTTCTCGCACTGTGTACGGAGTTATTGGACATTTAATATGAGTGGAATTTTGAACTGTGTAGTTTTCAACCTGCATATAGTACATCAGTTCATCGTCTAACAAAGATTATTTCAGTTAGCCTACTTAGCAATATTTAAGTAGGTAGGTGATTTGCTGACAAATCTACGTAGTTCAAAACACACGGTCTCATCGGATAGTACTGAAAATACTACTAAAAAAACGGTGCTGATGATTTAAAAATTTCGATAGGAAAAACTTCAGTGGATCATTCTGCAGAGGATTTGTGTGTCATTACGATAATGATTAATCTATCAACCCAGTTGTGCTTCCTTAACACAGGCCAGAACATTTGGCAAGACAGAGTAGTGCAAAACGTGATGTATATTTCAGCATCGATTTTGAATAACTCAGTTGTTGTTTAGAGTTAACTAAGGATCGTGCCTGATTAACGGAACATAATACGACAGCATAGCAAGTGGTGGAGTCGTTTTACCTAATGTCTTCTGGTCAACCAACTCACTCAAATAGCATCATTCAAATGTTGAATTCTACTGCAACACCTGCAGGCTACTGATTTTTTGGATGTTTTCACTTCTGCAATGGCTTTGACTACGATATGAGATTATCTAGCAAGGTGTTAGCAATCGCAAAACTGAATAAAGAGGCAGTATTAGTTTATCATTGGCTTCAAGCCAGTCTTGCTTGATTAGCTTGTTAATAGGTTTGATTATGAGCTGAATTCGGATTGAGAACCATCAGAAAACCAGCAGGGAGTACTGGACAACCGTTTCGTCCCGGTTGAAAACTCCTCAGTATTAAGCGTCCACTGGGGTTACAGAGCGATCTCTTAGACCATTCAGAGACTGGAAATCATGAATCCAGTTTCTGTGACTGGTTTATGACAGAGGTCATCTAGAGTTCTAGTGAGAAGTCAGGATCAACGTGGTCTAACAAGTCAGGTGAGAGAACAGAACTGGCTGGCGATTGCTCTGTATATAGTGCAAATTGACAGAAGTTGAGATTCATGGGCCATTAGATCAATTCCCAGTAGATGAATAGTCTACGAGCTCACCTTGTAACTGAAAGGTCCTGGGTTCGAACCACAGTGGTTGCGTACTTCTTGAGAGTCCCAAAATATGACGAAATAGCTATCCACTAATCTTTTCTAGTTTTCATGCTTCTCTAACTGAAGTCAACTCGTGATCCCATCTGTAATGAATCAAAAATCCGTACAAAAACCAACACTTGACAGTTAGTTTATTTTATTTATGAATACAGTGTCAGATACTATCTCTCTGAATTTCGGTTTTGTAACCCTTCAAATGACTTCTGCTTTTTTCGAATGCTATTGCCTAACTGATTTATTTAATCTGTGGCAGAATTCACGGGTCATTGGATCGGGTCCCAGAGGTCTACGAGCTCTCTGGCCTTGTTACCATAAGGTCCTGGGTTCGAACCCTGGCGGCAGGTGCGTACTGATGAAGAGTCCCAAGCAGCAGGATGAAACAGCTGTCCCGTACTCCCAGGTTTTCCAATAGTTCTTTAACTGATGTCACCTCATGACAAAATCCTCCAACTAATCTGTGAAAACTTGATTGATTTAGTCAGCGTCGATTTCATGGGGAATCATCATTCACTATATATAAAAGCCAATGAAATCTCTAGAAACAACACACTGAACTACTTTTGTTCACCTTAGCTTATTACTCACTATTCAATGGTGTGCACCGATGATCAGTTGGCTAGTTGACACCTAGACCTTCAGTGTACACAATAATCAGGTATCCGTTTAATTAATCCATTCTCCTTATTGGCAAGCTCTTCAGGAGTGCAACGCACCAGTCATTTGAAAAAGGCGATTTCCATGTATAAAGTATATATATATATATTGGTGAATATAATGAATAAAATGACGTGAATCTGTAACTTGTGACAAAAATACCTCCCGGTTTCGAACTGGCGTGTCAACAGAGTAATTAAACCACGTTTTATATATATAAGTCTTCTAATCCTAATCTGTCTGTAACCTACCGTGACGCGAGATTAACCCTAATCCTAACCTAACCTGTACTTAGCCTACAAATTAACTGAATCTTTCCACCAAACCTAGCCTAAAGCTTACCAGATATCCCGTTTAGTATCATAACCCTTCATTAAGCATATATTTTATTCATGATTATAATAGTGTTATTTACCTGGTTTCATTAACTTCGTGTGACTGAGCATTCCAAGGTTATTCGTGCGGCCACACTCTTGCACTGCTTAAAATTTAACTTGGTCCCCTGACTTTCGTTGTCAATAGCATCTAGTGTGGAATATCCACTCGGTAGCATAATAATAAGTACCCCAAGTATACCTTTATGCTATTAAATTCTTGAAGTTAGTCTCAAAAGATGTCAGTCAGTTAGTTTCCTTTTTAATGTTTGAATGTTTTGTTTATTATTTTTTCAATGTCTGATGTTGACCTGTGTGTGACGGGGATGTACTTTCAAATACAGTTAATTATTTACAACCTTACTGGATATATATAAGTATAGCATATATAATTAAGAGTAAATATTTTAAACAAAGGGTCAAAGTGAATGACAATGGAACAAATGACCTTTAATGACAATAATAATCATAATTAATGATATTTACTGTAAAATTCATTGTTATTTTGTTGCTTAGCCAGCCAGCTATCTAGGTAGCTAGCTAGCTAGCTCGGTAAAATAAAAAAGTGATTCCAGTGAAAAGGAGTACAAAACACAACAACTTTTGAGTACTTTATAAATGACCCAGACATCTGTCTATTCTAGGTACAGTTTAATTAGATGATATTTTATTCTTCTTATATGAATCTAATTTCATTTATACAAGGAGAGTAGTAGTAGTAGTAACATTTCAGCTGTCCTGATCTCTGTGCCAGACTCCACCCAATTTGTATATTGTATTTTTATTTTAGTGAATGTATATTGTGTAGTGAGATGGTATTGTCAATCTTTGTATTCTCTTAACACTGAGTAGACGAGATAATGAACTAGGCTGAGGAATATCAATAATAATAACAATAATTCGTTATGAGCATAAAGCATAGTACTCTTCTCTGTCTGTCTATCACCCGCATACATACATGCGTAGATTCTATACTTCTGTCTTAGATATATATCGATAATTACCTAATCAAGTATTGGTTTTTGTAGGGATTTTGTTTGATTGATTGGAGGATTTGATCATGAGCTGACATCAGTTAGGGAGCCCTTGGAAAACCACCTGGGGTACTGGACAGCCAACTGTTTCCATCGTTCTAGTTTGGAGCTCTTCAGCAGTACGCACCCACCTGGGTTCGAACCCAGGACACAGTACTCCCCAGGTTTTCCAATGGTTCTCTAACTGATGTCAGTTCTTGATGAAATCCTCCAACCAACCATCTAATCATCAAGGTTATTACTATTGGTGGTAGTAGTGTGGTGAGAGCTGGCTTTTAGTCAAAATTGGTGGATAGTAATTTACGTCAATGTGTATGTCCCCAATATTGGTTGTGAGAGAAATGAGACCAAAGGCTTTGCGTAGGCGGATACAACTAACATATAGATGACCTGACATCAAGAAACAGCCACAAAGAAATGCAAGGTTAACTTTCTGTGAGAAACAACCAATCAGAAGACTGTGTTTTTCTGCTAACAATAGTCTGTAATATGTACATAAAAATCTATAAATATGTGTTGATTTCCTTAATAAACGATCTGTTGCCTGGTCCTTGTCTTCTATTGTTACAGTAGTAACTCTGTGGTGAGTGCTACTGATGAGATTTATCAGTAGTACATAAAGAGACATTCATCGGCATGAAGACATCAAATAGAATGGGGATACATTTGATTACAGAAAAGGCATATGATACAGCCTTGTGAAGATAAATGGGAAACGTGAAAAGGAAGATGGAAAAACGCAATGCAAAGGGCACAAGTGGCACAACACGCAATATCTGTGCAAACGGTGCGTGGAAGATAAAGTGTACATAGTTTGACTGTATTATTATTATTGTTCCCATGGGTTCCTAGTGGAACATAGGGCTTCAAATGCACGTCTCCACTTGCTTCTGTCTCCTGCCGTACTTTTCACCTACATCCATGTTAGTCCATGCTGTTTCAACTCCTCTTCACACGATCTCCTCCATGTCACCCACCCTTGCACTGACGACCCACTTGCCGCTTCCCTTTCAGCCTGGTTCCACTCGAGCGATGGCCTGATGCGCTCGCGATGTCACCCAGCGGCCTCCTCACTCAGCGAGTGCCCAATCCATCTCAATCCACTTTCTCCTGCATATTTGTTGGTTGGCGATTGGTTCTTGTTTTGTTTGTTGTGCCCATAATTTCTTGTTGGTGATTCTTTCCGTACCGGCCATCTGATCTTCAGTATAGAGTCAGCGAAGATAGTTGTTGATAAAGGTGTCTGATCTGCAACAGGCTGTTGTAAATATTCTTTGTGACCCGCTGGCCAAGTTTCTGATCCTTATAGAAGAACTGACTGATTTGACGCTGTTTGTATTGAAAATCCGACCGAATTTTTGTTGTTGATGCTGGCTGAGTGACGAAGATTTTCAGATTAGTGTCAGGTTGATGAATGTGTTTCTCACCTTCCCGATTCTCGCTCGATTTGACATCCTCGTCCGTTCCGACTGCCTGTAGTTGAGACAATGCTCCCTAGATAAGTGAATGAATGAAGTAACCTCTTTCAAATCCCTCCCGTTGATGGTGATTGGCGCTGGATGTTTCTGCTGTTGTTGTTGTTTGGTTGGTTGGTTATTTTCATAACCTCCATCTTGTCTATGTTTACTTGGAGTCCTATATTCGCCGACTGCTTCTTCGACCAGTTTTTCGATTTTCGCTTGTGAGTCTTCGATTTTGTTTGACATCAAACATAAATCATCCACGCGCGAAATCCAGGTCTTCTAGGGTCTTCATGTCGGTCCAGGATGTCCCTGTCTTCTCGTTTCCCACTGTCTGACGCATAATCCAGTCCACCACATTTTGGAATATCATCGTGAGTGATAATAAGCACCCTTGTCTGACTCGTGTGTGTACTCCAAACGCCTCGCTGAGTTTTCCGTTGTGGATCACTTGACATGTGCCGTTGTCGTTGAATAAGGTTGATGAATATTTGGGGTACGCCATAGTACTCGAGTAATTTTCAAATTACTTCACGACCAACGCTGTCGAAGGCCTTCTCAAAGTCTATAAAGTTGAGGTAGAAGTTTGATTCCCATTCCATGCTTTGTTCTGTGATGACAATGCGTAGAGTTGCAATTTAGTCAGAGCATGATTTGCCTTTAATTTGGCTGTATAGAGATATCAAATTGCTAGTAAACATTCCTTTACCAAGTCTTCATCTTCTACCGTTACACCACCACTATTACAGCAGAAAACGTTGACATTTAGTGGGAGAATTGTCTATTGACTTGCTGTCAAGCCAGGTTGAAGTTATCTAAACACCGGATAGCTGTTTCTCTCGTTTAAGAGAGATAGAGAGAGTTCATCCTGCATTTCTGATTGCCATCCTAATTAGCATTTGTGGTATCTAGCATGTCACATATTGAGATTTAAATAATTTCCGTTATTTCCTTAAGAAACTATGCTACAACTTCCCCTTCTCGAATTGTTAATTTCGTTTAATTAAAATGAAAATCAATATCAGTAATTACAAATGTTGTTTTTCTGTTAACTTTTATTGATTCACACTTATGCTTTATACATTCTAGGCGACCAATCAGATGCACAAAACACCAATAATATACAATTACTGGAAAGGACACTTCAAGAATATATGGTCAACTTAAACTGTATCAAGAATAAGTCCAAGTGTCATTCTAATTTATCCCTGAATGGTTGTATAACGGAGACTACGACTTCGCCTACTGCAACTAATACTACTACTACTACCATCACCTCGACTTCGACTGCCAATACTCCAACGAAAGACACTGACAGCAACGCTGTTGTTCTTGTTAGTAGTAGTAGTAATAATAGTCGTGGCAACCGTATCCCTTCAGTTATGATACACACTATTATTCAAAAATTACTGAAAGTAACCAAAGATTCAATTATCTTTCTATTGTCTAATCAATTAGGCGGTGATTCTGTTGAAAGTATGTACAATAGCCTTGTAGAAATCTCTAAAGTATCATAGTTCAATATTCCAATGTCCTCTTTTTCCCCTTCTTCTTCTTCCGTTTAAGTATGTTTTTCTGGTATTTTCTTTCAGCTTTTAATATTTTTATCGTGTCCATTCTGTTTTCTGTATGGGAGTTCGTGTGTATGTGTGTGTGTGTGAGAGTGAGTACAGCTCACATAGGAGGATAGATTACATAGATAGGTAGACATATTGTGATTTTTTTCATTTGTTTGATGAATGCGCCCCGAGTTAAAACTCAGTAATAAGTTTGAAATTTGCGCCAAAATCTCACAATAAGACAATAGAAACGCTTTAGACAAACACACAAACTCACGCGCATACATATGTGCATATACCATTTGTGAATCAAGGATTTCTTATCAAATACATTCTACCTCAATCGATAACAATTTGTCTACTCATTATTATTATTATTATTTTGTATTATTTATTATTTAACTTTTGCATTCTTTATTCATTTCACTTTTGTAATACATTTATTTTAATAACAACAATAGTAACAGTTATGAAACTAATTTCTCCCATGTTAAATTCAATTTACCCGCCTCGAAAGAAATGCAGAAATTAAAACAAATTACGCGGGCATATTTTATGTGTTTAACTAAACTAAAAGATTCATGACAGTATTATCAACCTACTGTGCTTTTCTCTTGTTTGGTTGAGTGTATGTGTGCGTGGGTGTGCGTGTGTGTGTGAGTCAGCGTTTCCGCATATATTAGCAAGTATTTTCTTTTGATGATCCATTCTTCCATTCGTTCATTATTCGTTGTCTACGTTTATAACATGAAAAAATTCTTGTTCATTTTTTTGCTTTTTTCTAAACAAGCATAGAACAGCCGGTGAAACTTAGAATGATTTATTATTAAAATAGAATAATTTCTCACTTTGTTTTCATACTTACTCATGAATATATATAGTTATTGATTTAATTGATCTGATGAATTTTTCCTATAAATTGTCGTCTTTCCTTTGTGATTATCATCAATCTCTGGTTTGTTATTCACTTCCACACCTCATCTACTACTTATGAATGAAGAGTAGTCGTTGTAACAATCTCTTCCTTTCTCTCTCTCTCTCTCTGTCTCTCGTTTTTATTTGTGAATCTCATTGTTCATTGTAATTAGCAAAAATTGCCACGACCACTTTTTCCCCTCTAAGTCATCTACTCTTGTTTTTGTTTGTTTTTTTTTTTTACTGTTAATTAATATTTTTTGTGTGTGAAGAAAACAAAAGCTTCATGATTACTGAATTATTATTATTAGTAGTAGTATTATTACTCAGTTTTTGGTAATTGTTTTTCTCTGTCCAGCAGGATTTCATATGTATATTCGTGTGTGTGTGTGTGTGTGTGAGTTAGCGTCAGCGTACGCACGTGCCAACACGTTATTGTTGTCAAATGTTGAGACCAAACTGAAAAGGTTATTGTTTGGTGCCACCAGTCTCAGTGTAACCGACGTTATTTACTGGGCATATGAAGGTGTATCCAACTGATGAGTGCCAAATAAGACGAAATACGCGTCCATGATTCCACCGTTGGCCATGACCAGCCAATCTTCAGACATCGTTGAAGTGTCTGTGCTAGGGGGGGGAACATGTCGGTTAACAGGAAGTGTTAAGTAAGGGCAAACAAATAGGGTTATGTACAGGTTATACAAATTAAGAATCTCAATCGATAGATTTTCTTCATGGACAAACCTCAGTTAAAGAGATTATTGGAATCCGGGGGGACACTGGAAAACTGTTTCGTCGTATTTTGGGAGTCTCAACAGTGCACATTCACAACCCACTGGGGACCTTTCTGTTGCCAGACCAAGTTCGTTGGCTATCCAGCCACTTGAGCCGGAATAGAATGACCCCTGGATTCTGACTTTGTCAACTCGTGATACAGGTGACCATCAGTGAGCTGGTGATTGATATTGGTCAATAAGTGTGGTCTCGTAACCTGAAAGTGTCAGGTTTGACTTCTGGTAGGTTTGTGGATGGGTGTTGCTGAAGAGTCTCGAGATAGGAAGAACCAGGTGTTTAGTTCTCTCGTGTTTTCAGTGATCTCTCTAACTCTAACCCAAAATGTTTAAATATAGATTCAGTGAGTTTCTGTTCTTAAGTGACAGGATTTAGTTGGTTATTTTCAGTCTTTTTTGAGTCTCTGAATGTTGAGAGTAATTAGCAGTAGTAAACAGTTGACTCTGGTTTTCATACATGTTAGTATTTATCTAGTAAAGTGTCAGTATAGACATAGTTCAGGTGATCTTGTATTTGGCACTTCAATGTACATCTTCAGCTGTCTTTATCACTGAACTATTCCAGTAGTAAACAGCTTTTTTACTTATTCAGTAAACAGCATACACTAATCACCATCAACTGGGGAAATCTGAAGGATGTCGTCTCTTTCTCACACCTGACATAGGTCGTTTCGTTTCATCTACATTTGGCGGCACAGTTAGGGAAGGATATCAAAGCCAACATTATAGGAGAAACAAGATAGGCGTACATTAATCTGAACTTAGTGTGAATGTGTAGAGCACTCAGTCAAAATAAAGAAAAAGATTCAGATATTCAACACTAGCGTCAAGTGAGTGACTCAGAGACTTGGTGCACGTGTCACCAAAGGGATTTCCAACAGTCTGCTGTAGACTTTCATCAACACTTGCCTTTCATTGGCTCGATAGTAAGATTAAATGACCAGAGAGGGCAAACAACAGGGGACTCTGGTAACTAACCAACTAAGAAATTATCAGTCAACAAATATGCAGGAGAAAATGGAGATAGATTGGACCTACATTGTGGAAATCGTTAAGTGACATCATACCTTAAGCAAGTACTTGAGTGGAACCTATATGAGAAACAACGGGTTGTGAATCCAACACTAGCATGGAGAAGATCGTGTGGAGAGGAAATGAAGGTTTGTGTGTAGTAGTGAAGATTGCAGAGGACAGAGTGAAGTGGTAATATGCTGCTGAAGCCTGATATTCCATTCGAAACCCAAGGGTATAATAGTAATAATAGTAAGTGCAGAGTGTGACCGGTTACCTAAAATAACTATTGGGCAGTAATCTGTAATACGTTTCAGTTAACTAATAATTCAGTAAGCAGTCACACTGCATATTTCTTCTGATAAAATTCCATAACTATTGAAAATTACATAGTTATTTGGAGTTTCATTTCATGCCTTCGAGTTTCAAGTGGAACACTGGGCTTCAAGCTTGAGGTGTGAATTTTCAGTAGCGGGGATGTTGTTTTTATGGTGTAGGGTTGTAAGCCTCACGCCCGACCGCATCTCACCCCCTGTTTAGCGGATCTACTACCAGTTAGGCAAGGTTTAAGAGTGTGTCGGCCGTAATCGAAACTTGGATCACATGCGATGTGGTCAGCGAGCATGCTACCATCGTACCGCTGACAGCGTTACTGATATTATTCTGACACAATGTACATATGACCAATATTATACTGAGTTAACATATACAGTCAGATGATCACTTTCACAATTATGAATGTATAGACTCTAAAGATTTGGGATATCGTATACAGCAGTTCAATAAATGAGTGATCTAAAATCGGTGAATTTAAACTCTCATAGCCAAAATCGTGGTCATTTTGAACAACCAATCAGAATTCAGATGCAGAAGGGTCACATAATCCTCAAAGAATGTGTTTAAAAAAACACCGCAAAAATGATATTGCATTGTGTTTCAAAAAGTATCTCCCAGTTACTCCAAAGATAATCCACAGCGAAATCGTACCATGCTCAAGAGATGTATTCATCCTTGTGACTGTACACCATGGTACTTTGGGATCTATTAGTATTTCCGACGGTGTTCTTTAATATAACAGTATAGATTTACAGTATAACAAATGCCTAGGTATTATGTAGAATACTGTATCCACCCTCATCAAATTCATAAAGGCAGGCATGATTTGATTTGGGATTACCTTTCATAGCAATCCCTAAGTCTGATTGGTTCTTGAGGGTAAGTTTTTCCTAGACCTGGAATTTGGCTATGATAGTTCAACTTCATCTCTAATTCTACCACCACTTACCATTTAGAGACAGGTACCGTATATTTAAGTGTTGGTTTGTAAGGATTGATTGGTTACAGGATTTCATCATGAGCTGACATTGGTGAGAGAGCCATTGGAAAACCTGTGAGTAAGTACTGGATAGCTGTTTCGTTCAGCAGTACGCATCCACCGAGGTTCGAACCCAGAACCTTCTGGTTACAAGTCTAGTGAGCTCGTGGATCATTAAGCCACTGGGACCCGGTCCAATGACCAGCCCATGAATTCCAACTTCCGCCAATTTACCACATAGCGCGACCACTAGTCAATGTCTTCGGTGAGTATTTGTCCTCACACCCGACCTGCTGCACTTCACTGGTCACGACTTCCCACTAGAACCCGAGGTAACTACCTACCTAGCGGTGAGTGCGTGCTGATGAAGTGCCTCAAACTAGGATGAAACAGTTGTTCAGTACTCCCAGTAGGTTTTCCATTAGTTCTCTAACCAATGTCAGCTCAGAATGCAATCCTGTAACCAGTATATTTGTTAGTTTTGAAGATCAATACACGTCAGGTTAAGCAAGGTATATGAAATAATCTTAGAAAAAAGGGAAAAGTTAAACTCACGACCCACGGGTAGCCTTGATCCGACCAATCAGAAAAACCAGGGTTGTTGTTTTTTTACATTAAAGTGACATTTATTTACAGGAAAAATGCATGAAAACACATTAAACAGGGTATTTTTCTGACATGACTTTAAAATATGTTCCAGTTATAATGAGCACGATTGATTTTTTCAGTTGAAGTAGTTTCTGCACATGTCTTCATCAAGATGACTGAAAATGAGTTCCTTTTGTGACCTGTTTATTGCTCTTATCCTGTTTTTCATTCTACAAGGGAAACCCTCGATGAAATTGGTATGGATCTCAGTAAGGAAGTCAACAGAATCATCAGAATGATTCATTCGATGATGGATGAAACCTAAATCAGATAGGCGATTGTATCCAACCCATTCATTTGTATGAATGGTAGTGCCAGGAATGACTCACCTTTGTATAATTGGTAGGAGAGTGTCACCTCTGTGATTTAGAATTAATTCCGTAATTCCCTTCTGAGGTTTTGTGTCATAAGCTGCTAATACCCAAAGGTTATTTACCCTAGGGCGATAATGATTATATTTCTCCTTTATGGGAACTGTTTGATCGATGTGAACAGTAACACCAACTCCTCCTAACAGCTGATTGACAGTATTCATCTTCCAGGACGCTATATCTCTGTAGTGATGGAACCATTGCACAGTGGATACTAAGGAACTTTCCTTCTCTGCAGTCGTCGATCTCACTCCAGTCTTTAATATTCCATATCGGCAGATAAAAAGTATATTCGTTAGAGAGAGAGATTCGATTTAGAAAAGAATGAAATGGGCGTGTAACTTACCAATACAAACACTAATTCGTTTCTTACCCGGTGTACACCTAAAAAAATATACATCCCCATCTCCTGCGTCTGAACGTCACTTGACTTAAATAGAAGCACCACAAGGACATTAACGACCACATGCTATCAACCCATTATTTAGACAGTAATTGAAAACGTGATCGGGGTGAAATTTGCATCTTAATTCGTGAATAGCGATATATATAATCAAGAACAATATTTGGATTCTGTTCAACACGGATTCGAAGTTAGTCAGTCAGTCATTTCTTCTACACGGGTAAGAAATTTACACTGCACGTGAGTTACGAAAAGGATTTCCGGAATGCATCTACAGACTTTTATCAACAGCTGCCACTTCCTCTGACTGGCTCCATACTGACGATCGAATGGCCAACCAGCCGCCCAGAAAGGATGAGCAACGTGAAATTCTGCCTGGGAACAAACCAAAACAAGAGCCGATTGCTCAACAAATATGTAGGAGGA